TCTATCATCCAAGCCATATTTTCCAGCTACCAGTGATTCTTCATTTCCAGCTTTCATGTTCCAGTCACCAGTAATCATCCATATCTTTATTGCATGCTTGGTCAATTTCAGAATACATAAATTATCAAAAATCTTCAATTTCTTCATCTTTGGCTTTAGTGGTTGGTGCATAAGTTTGAATAACAGTAGTGTTAACTGGTCTTCCTTGTAGGCATATGGATATCATCCTGTCACTCACAGCATTGTACTTCAGGATAGATCTTGAAATGTTCTTTGTGATGATGAATACCACACCGTTCCTCTTCAATTTGTCATTCCTGGTATAGTAGATCATATGGTTGTCTGATTCAAAATGGCCAAAACCAGTCCATTTCGGCTCACTAATGCCTAGAATATCAAACTTTATGTCTTCTATTTCATTTTTGACAACTTCCAATTTTCTTAGATTCACATTTTCGTGCATTCAACATTCTGATTATTAATGAATGTTTGCAGCTGTTTTTTCCCATTTTGAGTCATCAGCAAGTAGAGGTCCCAAAAGCTTTATTTCATTCATGTCATTAATGTTGACTCTACTTTGAGGAAGCAGCTCTTCCCCAGTCGTATTTTGAGCACCTTTTGCTGTCAGGGACTCATGTGCCAGCACTATACCAGGCAGTGTTTGAGGGCTATTCATAAAAGTTTTCCAGTAATGTATCAGTGTTTCACTACTATTCATAAGGTTTTTACTGGCCAATTTTTTTTTTGAGAAGTGGATGGCACTTTCCTTTTTCCCAGTCTTTCTTAGTCTGGAAGCTTTGCTGACACCTGTCCATGATGGGTGACCGTGCTGGTATTTGAAATACCAGTGGCATAGCTTCCAGCCTTACAGCAACATGCAAGCCACCACGGTATGACAGATTAACAGATGAGTGGTGAAGGTATAATGTGTAATATATTATTTTTATATTAGTGACTTCTGGCTCTAGTTTTCTGTTTGAACTTAAGGGTTCTGATGAGAATACTTTTTCAGCAAACCCACTGTTACATGAAATTTGCTGGAACTGATTTTTATTCTTACTCTGCCCAGTCCCTTCTTTCCCTTTCCTGGTTAGTAGGACCATGTGTTCTGCCAACTTAATGTCTTAAAAGCATTTTTCAAAGTGTTATCTGTGGATTTTTTGAGGACTTGGTAAAATACACCAATCTGTATATTCAACAAGTTCCCCAACAGTTTGATGCTCATGGAAGATTAAGAATCACCATCATAGAGAGTCATCTGTGCCTTTTTTTGCTACCCATAATCCAGTGTTTTCCCATTAATATACTGCTGCAACTGTTTTTGGATTACCTTTAGCAGGATTTTACTTGCATGTGATATTAATGATATTATTTGATAATTTCCGCACTCTGTTGGATCACCTTTCTTTGGAATGGGCACAAATATAGATCTCTTCTGGTCAGTTGGCCAGGTAGCTATCTTCCAAATTTGTTGGTATAAAATGAGTAAGTGTCTCCAGCTCAGCATCTGTTTGTTGAAACATTTCAGTGAGTATTCCATGAATTCCATCAATTTCTGGAGCTTTTTTTTTTTTTTTGCCAGTCCTTCAGTGCAGCTTTAAATTCTTCCTTCAATGCCAATACCATTGTTTCTTGATCGTATGCCACCTTCTGAAATAAAGAACATTGACCAAATCTTTTTGGTGCAGTGACTGTGTACTCCTTCCATCTTCTTTTGATGCATCCTGCATCATTCAATATTTTGCCCATAGAATCTTTCAGTATTGCAACTTGAGGCTTTGAATTTTTGTTAAACGGGAACTTCCAGAAATGCAGGGTGCATTCAGAAGAGGACGTGGAATGAGAGAGATCATTGTTGATGTCAGATGAATCTTGGCTGAAAGCAAAGAATACCAGAAAGATGTTTACTTGTGTTTTATTGGCTGTGTAAAATCATCCAGCTACATAAATCATAACAAATTATGGGTAATATTGAGAAGAATGGGAGTTCCAGAACACTTAATTGTGCTCATGAGGAACCTGTATATAGCCAGGAGGCTGTTGTTCAAACAGAACAAGGTGATACTGTATAATTTAAAATCAGGAAGAGAGTGCATCAGGGTTGTATCCTTTCACCATACTTATTCAATCTGTATGTTGAGCAAACGATCAGAGAAGCTAGACTGTATATAAAAGAACATGGCATCAGGGTTGGAGGAAGATTCATTAACAACCTGCAGTATGTAGGTTGACACATACTGCAGTATGCAGTATGACACAACCTTGGTTGCTGAAAGTGAAGATGACTTAAAGAATTTATTAATGAAGATTAAAGATTACAGTCTGCACTATGGCTTACACCTCAACATAAAGAAAACAAAAATCCTCACATCTGGACCAGTAAGCTGTACCATAGTAAATGGAGAAAAGATTGAAGTTGTCAAAGATTTCATGTCATTTGGTTCCACAATCAACACCGATGGAAGTAGCAGTCAAGAAATCAGATAATAAATTGGACTGGGAAAATATGTTGCAAAAGACCTCTTTAAAATGCTGAAGAGCAAAGATGTCACCTTAAGGACTGAAGTGCGCCTGGTTCAAGCCATAGATTTTCTGTCATTCAGCATGCAAAAGCTGGATAATGAATAAGGAAGACCAAAGAAGAATTGATGCATTTGAATTATGGTATTGGTGAAGAGTACTGAATATGCCATGACCTGCTAGAAGAATGAACAAAGCTTTCTTGGAAGAAGTACAGCCAGAATGCTCCTTAGAAGTGAGGATAGCAAGATTTTGTTTCATGTACTTGAACATGTTATCAAGAGGGACCAGTACCTGGAGAAGGATATCATGCTTGGTAAAATAGAGGGTCAGCAAAATAGAGGAAGATCCTTAATGAGATATATTGACACAGTGGCTACAACAGTGGGCTCAAACATAGCAACAACTGTGAAGATGGGGCAGGACTGGGCATGGTTTCATTCTGGTGTACCTAGGGTCACTCTGAGTTGGAACTGACTTGAGGGCACCTAACAGTGACAAGAAGGATCATACAGTTTCTTTCTTTCTTTCTTTCTTTTTTTTTTTTTTACTTAGCATAAGTTTTCAAGGTTCATCCATGTGGTGGCATGTCTTCCGTTATCTTTTGCTCCAAAATTTATTATATATACGTTTTCTCAAGCATTCTCTTTGGATGTTGTTTCAGTACTGTCATTTTCCTATTTCACAACCATCAGTAAATTTCAGGCACTAATTTGTCTGCTCTGTGATGTCAGTCAGTCTTGTTTTAAAAATACAGAGAATGAATGGAAATACTCCAAAGTGTCAATACTAGTTATCTCTGGCATCAGGAATATGAATTATTTTTATTTATTTACTTCTGTTTATTTCTGTGATGAAAATTTTTCTTTTATAATTTTTAATCTGCAGTGTTTCCCTATTGGTTTAGCGTTATCAAATGCAAATTTTTCTGTTGGCCTTTCCTTCCATCCTTCCCATATGCTTACAAGTTCAGGGATTCTTGGAGTAGCATCAGCTTCACCTAAATGTTTGAAATACATTTTCAGGCCCTACCCCAGACTTACTAATTCAGAAACTGTGAAGATTGGGCCCATCAAACAGTGATTTAACAAGTCCTCCAGATGATTCTGATGAATGCTGAAGTTTGAGAATTGCGCTAATCTATGCTGTCTTATCCTTGCTGCAAATTTTCTGTTCCAGCTAAGCCAATGTGTATGATAGTGGTTCCTAAGCCTTTTTTCAGATTGAAATCATCTGGCCATCTTTAAAAAATACTGAACCTGGCTCCCATTCCTAGACATTTTGACTTTATTGATGGGGGTTGTGACCTGGCCATGGGATTTTTTTAAAGCACCTCAGGTGATTCTAATGTGTAACAGGTTTGGGAACCACTGGTGTGTGCCTTTGCCTTTCATTCAGCCAAAGGAAGTCCTTGCTCTTCACCTATTTGCTACTCTGTGCTTTTTTCCTTCTGGAAACTTGTTAAAAACACATCCACTATAGGAAAAATTTTTGATTATGCTCACCTTACTCTATCGGATTATTCCCTTGAGATGTTTATGGCAACTGTTTTTACAAGTTCAGTCTCATTTGTGAATGTCCATTTTCTCAGTTCCCTAGAAGCAGAAAGCTGTTCTTTTTTTTCTTTTTAAACTTTATCTTACTGCTCAGCATTCATGGGTCTAGCAGGTACGGAGACAAAGGTATTAGTCTTATGGAATACTTGGGTGCTGTTGCTTCCTTAAATTCTTTGCATTATATTTTTAGATTTTTAATTTTTGTTTTATTCTAGCTGCAACAGATCAACTTCATGAGCCTAATGCAGATAGTAGGATCATCCTTTGCTAATCTCCCAAATATACATCAACTTGTACAGCAGTCTCAGTCTGTGCATTTGGTGGGAAGCCAAATATCAAACCCCACAGGACCAAGTGGTGATGTTGAAGACAGCAGTGGAAATGTTAAGGACAGATTTTTCATTAATCAACAATCCAAGGAAGAGTGCACCAGAGAGTCTGTCAAGAATAGCCCACATTGCCATAAAGGAATTGCCCGATCTGATCAAAACAGTAGTGGAAATGTACAGGTATTATGTATAAAAATACCATTAAGTTGTCCTACTAGTTCAACCTGTTCGGTTTTTGTTATTTGAGTAAATAATCTTTTTTAGCAGTTATTACATTAAAGCCTCATCCCAAATATACACTGAACATCATTTATAAAATAAGGAATTTGTAATATTTATATTTTTAACTGACATAGTGTCTTTTATTTTTCTCCTCTAGAATGTTCCACATGACAGTATTCCTTTATGTCATATAGAAGACCAACCCCAGAACAGAGGACTAACTCCAGCATCTGAAGCCCCTGGTGCAAATACTCACCTTCATCTTTTGTCTGCATCTCCTGCCAGTCAGAACACACCTAGACTTATCCCAACAGCAAAAACTTTCAGTCCTGGTGATGGTTTTACTTTGCTTCAAATTCAACCCAAGGATGAATTCAAGCTACTTCCCTTATCTACAGGAAGAGTTCCACAAGTTCCTCTCAGGCCTCTGCCACAACCAAGAGAGGCTTGGGGATTATCTGATTCCTTCCAGTCTCCTTTGCCACAGAGAGAAGGACTTACTACTTCAATTTCCTATTTGAATTTGGGCCAGTATGATACTGGAGCCATAAAAAAGGCAGTTGAGCAGAAAAAATGGGCAGAAAGTGTAATTACAGAAATCCCTACACATCTGAACTTTGCTCATTATGTTGGACAAAACTTTACACCTCAACAGGACTCTTCATTACTTGTAAAACCAGAAAAACTATTTGAGATTAAGCCAGGTCCCCATGAGATATATCCTCAGAATTCCATTGGACTTCCATTATTGCACCTGCAGTTTAAACCTCCTTATATGTTTTCATCAGCCTCGAGAGCATCAGTTGCAGTTCCCTCAGTGCCTGTCAGAATGATAGCAGAACAAAGAAAATACTCAAGAGTATCATTACTTCACTCATGTCTATCCCCAGAAAATACGGTAATGAATTTTTTCCAGTGATGCAAAAAAAAAAAAAAGCCCTGTATTTTTGGTAACATAAATACTATATGTTCACTGAGAAGCCATTGCACATTTTCTTTTTTTAAAAGAATGCTTTCATTATAGGAAATAATATATAAAAATGATTATTGGCTGTTTTAAAGGTTTTAGGTGTTTCTTACACATAAACCAAACCAAACCAAACTCACTGCTGTTGATTCGAATCCGATTCATAGTGACCCCTCCTTGGGTTTCTGAGGTGGTATCACTATGGAAGTAGATTGCCCAACCTTCCTTCTGAGGAGTGGCTGGTGGGTTTGAACCGCCAACCTTCTGGTTAGCAGCCAAATGCCTTAGGCACTATGCTATTCTTACACACAAATACCAGAATTTGCTGGCCTCTCTTACAGCTGTTTTTATGCTAAAAGAATAAATAAATTAAATAAAACTCAGCATCCCTGCATGTTGCAAACATGTGCTTGGCTTCTGATTGAAAGGATGGCAGTTCAGGTCCATCTAGAGTAGCTCTGGGAGGAAGGCTTGGCTATCTGTTCCTGAAAATCAGCTATTAACAACCCTGCAGAGCACAGTTCTCTGGCACACATGGAGTTACCCTGAGTGGAATTGACTCACTGGCAAAAGGTTTAATTTTGGTTTAAAATAAAATTACCAAGTGTTTTGCTTATCCTGTGTATGTGTGTATGCATGCACACTCACATACACACACATATATAAAGACAGATTTTGAGGTTCCAACAATTGTGATGTGATTGCTGTTACAGGTTAAAATTGTTAAATAGACCCAGGTCTACCAGTAGTAGTGCAAGTAGTAAAATGGTAGCTTTTTAAAGTAGCTTTGGTGGCACATTACCTAAAGCATTTGACAGCTAACCAGAAGGTTAGTAGTCAAACCCACCAGCTACTCCACAGAAGGAAGATGGGGTAATCTACTTCCATAAAGATTTATAGCCTTGGAAGCCCAATTGGGGTTACTATGAGTTGAAATTGACTTGATGGCAATGAGTTTTGTTTTGTTTTTTTTTTAAAAAAAAAACAAAACACAAAGATTGAATTTTTATAAGCCTACCACATCCTCTTTATTTTTAGTTTTTAACTTTTAATTGTGATTTGGGTGCAGGTTTACAGAGTAAATTAGTTTTCCACCTAACAGTTCATACATATTTTATTTTGTGACACTGATTGCAATCCTCACAATGTAACATTAATCTTCTTACTTCCTCCCTATGTTTACTCCTTGCATTAGTCCTTTTCTATCCCTTCCTGCCTTCTGAGCTTTATCCCTGTGCAAATGGTGCTTTTTGATCTCACGTGGTTGATTGTTCCAAGGAGGAGCAACTCTGTATGTTCACTGAAAAGACCTTGCACATTTCCTTTTTTAGAAGAATGCTTCTATTATAGGAAATAATATATACAAATAATAATTGGCTATTTTAAAGGTTTTACCATGTCCTCTTTCATTTAATTCAAATTTTTTAGGTTCTAATTTTGTATGTGAGTGTATGCTATCTTAGGGAAGTAATTAAGTAGTTTGTTCTATGGTACACTTTTAATATTTGAAGGGAATAATGGGAAAATAATAGTCATTCCTTAGAAAAGATATTCACCATGTTTTCTTCTGAACATATCATGAATGGAAGAAAAAAGGTCTAAAGGACTGGAAAAGTAGATATTTTGAGAAGGTTTTAAAAAATTATTATAATAGTATAATAAACCTGCATGTTACACCACCCAGCTTCAGTTGTTACCAGCATACTGCTAATCTGTTTGGTCTGTAATCCCCCACCCACCCTTTGCCTTATCTCCCTTCCAAATAATTTTAAATCAAATGCTGTACGTTATTTCACTTGTAATTATAAGAAGGATGATTTTCAATATGAGAAAGAAATAATACTAGGACTTCAGACTTACTTTCTGAAATGGAGTGACTCAGCTGAAGCTGAGCTAACTCTTTAAGATCTGGACGTTCCTGTTACCGGTCTAAACCCATTTGCTCTCTTGCACATTTTAGTTTAAGAAAATGGTTTTCTTATTTTTTTGTTAACATATTATCTTATTCAGGTTTGTAATTTTTAATTATTATGCTTTGTTTCTTTCTTGTAGTATAAAGAACCACAGCTTATCCCACTTGAAAATCTTGTTGCATTTAAACAAAGCCAACAGAGACTAACACATAACTTATTTGAACAAGGTGATCCTGGACCAATTCAGCTTCTAAATGTCAAAATAGAATCACCTGAAATAAGACAAGAAAAGGACAGTAAAAAAAGGCAAGTTTTAAGTGGAATTTTATTTGAGAATATCACAAGAATCTTTGATCAAAAGGGAGAAAATTTAGAACAGATTTCAAATTCTCATGAAATCCAGACTTTCTTGGCGCCATTGAGGCTTCATGAGACCCCAAAACTATTGCCCAGAGATAATCTTTAACAGACTTTATGTCAAAAATAGCCCCTGAAGTCTTCTTAAAACTAATGAATAGTTTAGCTTAACATAGTAAAGAATGTCCACCCTGAGCATTGTGCTCTTTTAAGAACTGTCTCTATGGGATCAAATTGACAACAGCAATTTGAAAGATTAGATAGGAAACTTTGGGGGAAATGAGTTAATTGGAGGAGCAACGATTTGGAAAAGGAAGGCAAGAATGGTTGTACAACTTGAATGCAATCAATGTCACTGGGTTGTACGTACATAATTTGTTGAATTGATGTATTGGTATGTGTTATGCTGTGTGTATTCTTAACAACAACAAGAAAGTTGTGAAAAAATAAAAGGTAAATGAGAAAAATGTAAGGCTATAACTTCTGATGAAGAATCCTTATTATAGTGTTTTATTCATAATTAATGTTCAGTGCATGTGTTGATTGGTAAGTTAATACTAAGTCTTGAAATACTTTAAAAATTTCATGTTTGATCAGACCCTAAAATCTACATCCAGTGCTCTCTTTCTAGAAAGGGTTCCTTCTTTGTATTCCAAATACTCTCTTAAAGTAAGTCTTCTCTTTAAATTTTTGGGATCTCTTTGCACATGGATAGGATTGAGATGAGATGACTAAGAGGGTTTTAACTTCTTCAACTGGGAAAATAAAGGTATCCAGTAGATATTTTTCTGAGATAAGCTTAACATCTGCAGAAGAAAGAGTTTAAAAATCATTTGAAAAGTATGGACTTGGCTAATACAGGATACAATTCCTGTGACAATACAAAATAGTCAGTTCAGGAGTAGAGTAGCTACAAATAAATTTCATGTTTTCTTGGATTTTTTGCTTATATTTGCTTGTATTCTAAAGGAATAGTTTGCTAATTTAATTAAATTCCATTGATAATGATAATAATAAACCAAACTCACTGCCGTAGAGTTGGATCCAACTCATAGCGACCCCTCCTTGGGTTTCCAAGGTGGTATCACTATGAAACTAGATCACCCAGTCTTCCTTCTGAGGACTGGCTGGTGGGTTTGAACTGCCAGCCTTCTGGTTAGCAATCAAATGCTTTAGGCACTACACCACTAGAGCTCCCTTGATAATAATATATTAACCTTATTTTGGTCACCTCCCTATAGCATGATACAAACAAAAGATTGATGTCTGTAATGGTAAAGTATGTTGTATTCTATTGTTTTTAACAGGCAAAGAAGACGAGCTGAGAAAGAGCTGCAAGAAAAAAGTTCAGAGAAAATGAGGAAAAAACCAAGTGTGACTTTCCAGCCCAAAGATTCCATCATTAATAATAATAATTCAGAGATGGTTATGAAACCCAAGGTATAGAGGAACTATTATAGATTCTTCCTGGATTTCATGTGTCTTTGGGGTTGATCTAATCTTTTGATTGCCCAGAGCTTCTGATTGTGTTAAGGGGAATCTTTTATATCATTACATTTGTAAATCCATGTTGCTTACCTTCATGGACTAGTGGACATTTATTATGTTAGTTGAGGAGGAACAGTTTGGGAAAGGAGGAGCAAATATGACAAATTAACAACGGCAGCTTAGAGCATCTGCCTTTTGACTTTTTTATATTGGAAATCATTCTTTTTTTTTCTTTATTCTTTTTCTAAGCTGCCATCTTTTGCATATGGTATACTGTTTGGGCTTTTATTATAATTTTGCCTATCTCTCTTTTTTTTTTTCTTTTCATTGTGATTTGGGTGAAAGTTTACCGAACAAATTCATTTTCCATACAGCAGTTCACATACACTTTGTCTCATGACATTGACTGCAATTTCCCACAATGCAACAGCTCTCTTCCCACTTCCTCCCCAGAGTTACCTCTTCCCTGTGTCCTTCCCTCCATGCACTCCTGGCCCCTGAGCTGTCTCCCTGTACATATATATACATAGCCCTTCTATTCTCCCACGACTGATCTCTCCAAGGAGTATATCTGTCTAATGTAAATGTTTAGCTCATATGCCTGTCTTTTGTTTGGCTGGAAGCCACAGAAGTAGGTTCAATTCCAGACCTGATGGGCAGCTAGGGGCCATAGTCTCAATGGTTCCACCAGGCTCCATCAGACCAGCAAACCTCGCCCCTTTTTTTTTTTCTTTTTTTAATTATTTTGAGTTTTGTCTCACATTGTTCTCCCATTATATTCAGGATCTCCTACTTAGATCCCTCTCTGAGTGGTTGACAGTGGTAGCTGGGCATTACCTATCTCTTAGGGATACCTCTAGGATTCCCTAAAGTGAGTTTTGTTTGTTATATAATGTATATCTTAATTAAAGTCTTTTAAAACATTTTTTATAAATTTGTTGCCAGCCTATTTTGCTGTTTTTACAACAGATTTGTAGTTTTGTTTATATGAATTTTCAAAAGGCACACTCGTTTAGTAATTCCTCAAGAGCATATTTGTAGACCCTTAGCAACAATGTTTATTGAGTCAGTGAAAGATTTTTATAGGACAGAAGTACTATTTGAATATCAGAACTACTCTGTAGGGAAGAATTATACATAGTAACCTAGTAAGTTTGCATTACATTGGTAATGCTGTTGATTTTTTGTCTTGTGAATTTAGTGAATCTTTCATTGAGTTATTTTGATAGAATAAATAATAGAGGTTTAATTCCTCTTATTTCTAGAATTACAGTAACTGTACTTTTTTTTTAGTAAAAAAAAAAAAAACCTTCATGCCTGTTATTTTTATTGAATATTAAATATTTCTTTTCCAAAATAATGTCTTTAAGTTAATTATAGATTAATCATTTGGGGATTCATTTAGGAGCATGAAGAACATTGTGTTTCCGAGCCTTTGGATGACTTTGATATCCCTTTTGGTATGTACATTCATGATTAATGTAATGTCTAAATTCAAGGCAAAATCCACTTTTTAGAAATATGTACAATGTAAAAATGAGACTAAATTATTTTCATATTATCTTTGACAGCATGGTGTGTATATGTGTTTTGATGTGTTATCCAATAGAGCAGTGGTTGGCAAACTGTGGCCTGCAGGCTAGATTTGGTCATGTTTGTTTTTATAAATCAAGTTTTATTAAAACACAGCCATGCCCATTTGTTTATGCATTGTCTGTGGCTCTTTTCACACCACAGCAGAGTTGCGTAGTTAAGACAGCAACCATTTGGCCCACAAAGTTAAAATACTTACTTTCTGTCCCTTTATATAAAATATTTGCCAGCCTCTGCAATAGAGCATTTTAAGCAATTAGAGTCGCTACTGCTATGTAAGATCTAAAGAGAAATTATAGAAGAACAAGCCTATGGTTAAATTCATCATATAAAATGCACACACATTAAAAATAGAGGAATCAGTTCAGGAGAGAGAACTTGTTTACAGCTAAGAAATTGCTTTGTTTTTTGAATTGATCAATTTATTTTGTATACCCTGAATATATGCATTTACCAAGCCTTTTTCCTCATAATTCTCTCTCTGACACACATACACACACACACACACTCACTCTTGAACTTGAGCCATTCCCTCTAATAATATCCACTGTCAAAGTTTTTGAAGACCCTTAAATGTATATATACTGTCCTATTTTCTCATATTTCTGTAATACTTTCACTTTAAATTCAACATGTCCCAATTTTAAATTGGTATCATTGTGTTAGTGATATCAGCATTCTCCAGATTGGCCAATTTTTGCCTTTAAAGTCACCCTAGATTTCTCTCTCACCTTTGTTTCCTCCTTCATACGTGTAGTCTTTGACCTGGTCCTCTCTTCCTTTCTCAATGCCCCTGCCAAATATCAGGTCTCTGCATGCCTAAACCAAGAGTCATCTCCTCGATTGCTTGGTTTCAGCTTCTTGACTTCTAATCCATCTGGCATTCTTCTTTCCCACTTATTTATTTTAATACCACTTTCTTTTCACTCTTAGTAACATTTTTCCCTTTGTAGAAGTAATACATGCTGTTGAAGAAGATTTAGAAAATACAAATAGAGAAAACTAAGAAAATTAAAATCTCTCATTATGTTCTGCCTAGAGAATAACAAATGTTAATATTCCTCCGGGCTTTGTGAATATCCCTACACAAATATGTGCAAATACATATGTTACATGAAAATATAGATATATCTGTATAAGGATATTCATAAAATAATAGCTCTGTACTTACTTATTATGTACTTATTTTTACATACTGGTGTTAAGGTAGTTCTCATATTACCAGATAATTTTTCTATGATGTCATTTTTAAGGACTGTGTAGTATCCCAAAAATATACCATGCTTTTTACTCCTTTGTACCTACTCTCCCTGGGTTTTCTCTCAGGAAAATCCATATCTAAACCCAACCTTTATAACAGAATTTTTACTTCGATTCTGCTTTCTGATGAACTTTTCCACTTGGGTAAAAATTGCCTCAAGCACAGCATATTCTGGGTGAACTCATTATTCTTCCATAAACTAATTTGTCCTCCACGTTCTCTCTTGTGTGTTACTGCCAGCCTAACCCAAAGCATAAGTTACTCTGAATTGTAACCTCCCTTTTCCCTTTGCATCTAGTTAATAACTAGTTCTTGCCTTTTTTATCTCCTTTGTAATACTTAAATTTTTCCTTTCTCCTCTATTCTTCACCATTTCTGGGTTCTTAATTGAACTGCCACAGTAGCCCCATCTAACTGATTGCCTTCTTTCAGTTTTTTCCACTCAAATCTATGTCTAAACCGTGACTGGGTGTGTTTTTAAAGAACATGGATCTTACCCTGTCATTTCCTTGCTTAATAACTTCAAGTGGATCTTCATTAGCCAAAAGAACATCTAAGTTACTAGGCTAGACTAGACTACAGAATCCTCCAGAAGTTAGGTTTTGATTCCACTGACCTGTCTTTGAAACACAACTTAGATACCACCTCCTTCAGAAAGTCCATTTTGATGACACCCTAACACTTCATACTTCAAGTGGGCTCCAATAGTATGTTGGCTTTTCAGCGATCTCCCTATTTTTTTTTGTATTTAAGAAATGCTTCAAGGTGACATTACTACATCAGCTGGATTACATTTCATGGCCTCTGTAAGGAAGAAAGCTATAGAAAGTCAGGATGCAAGTACAAATACGGACCCAGGTAAAAAGGAGGCTACTTTTGTTTTAATTAAAAAATATTTTGTAATATTTAAGATATATAGACTTTTTTCTTTAAGGCAATGCTTTAAAATTATATGATACTTAGTTATGCATCCCAGGTTCTTGTCCCCAGTCCTGGTGTATACTTTAGTAATTTAAAATTTTAAGTTAAGTTTAATGATACCTTAAGTAAAACATGGGAGCTCTGGTAGTGTAGTGTCTCAGGCACTTGACTACTAACCAGAAGGCTGGCAGTTCACTCCTCGGAAGGAAGATGGGGCAATCGATTTCCGTAGTGATACTGCCTCGGAAACCCAAGGAGGGGTTGCTATGAGTCGGGTCCGACTCGACAGCACATAACAACAACAACATAGGTAAAATAAAGTGGAGATTTTTTTTTGTTCAAACATGCCATAAAATATATCCTAAGCCAAATGGAAATAATGTTTAGAATTTGTATTCTCTATGCCATTAATTTCCTGCACTGGAATTGACAGCCTGTGGTTAAGAGGCCTGGGCTGTGGCTAGTAAAGTTGAGCTTGGAAGAGGACTAGATTGGCTTCAGTGTATGCAGCTGTGTCCAAGAGAAAAGGAACTATGTTTTGGTGGATCTATTATTTGTGAATGTCCCTGCCCTACCTCCTCATTAATGTAATTAATCATTATGGACATTGGGTAACATCTTGAATATTGCTCTGCCCATTGTGTTTTTAGTGACTCTTCATTATGACATTTAGTAAACAGTTTCTCTTAACTATACGTGGAACTTTATACTTTATACGTGCTTTTGAAAACCTTCCTAATACTGTTATAAAATAATATTTGTTGTCTTGCTTTAAAAAATAACATATAATTGTCATGGCATTTGGATTGAACATATTGTAGAAGATGAAAATTAACCATAATTACACCACTCTTTAACAGTTTTTTTTCTTTCGGTCTTTTGTGCATTTTATATAGTTCGATATGATAAATTGTGCATGTGTCCCTCACTTTTTGGATTCTCACCATCCAGACGTTGCTGTCTTCCCTGGGATTGGGTCTCAGAGTTTAACCCTTCCATGACTGCCAGTGTTTGCTTTTTTCCAGTAATGTTGGAATATTTTTATATTAGATTATATCTTTAATTTGTGATACATTCAGTATTGTTGCATACGACACACAAACTAATGAGGTGAATGAATGGTAATAAAGAAAACGAAAACCCACCCACTGCCATTGAGTTGATTCCAACTCATAGTGACCCTGTTGGACAGAGTAGAACTGTCTCATAGGGTTTCCAAGGCTGTGAGTCTTTACAAAAGCAGACTGCCTCATCTTTCTCCTATGAAGCAGCTGATGAGTTCGAACCACCCACAATTCATTAAGAAGTCATATTTAAAATGCTTTATATTATGTGGTAATCCTTGCTGTATTGTTGTCTGGATGTTCAAGAGTATCTTAATGATAGTTGGGAAAATGAGTGGACTGGGACACCTTTTTTTCCACTTGAGATAATGCAGTAAAGTCTCATATTATCTGAAAATTCACCGTCTTGCACATTTTCAGAAAGGCATTAGATTTGGATGACAAGTGATACCTATATTTTGTATTCTTCGCTTTACATTTTAACTTGTGTTTATGCAAAACATTTCCCTGTGTCATCAAAAAGTACTTTGTAAGCATATTGCTTCTTCTAATTGTGTTATAAAATAGGTAACTAATCCCTTATTGTTCAACATAGTAGACTGGTTAGTTTTTTTTCCTCCTGTAAATTACTACTTCAGTGAGTATTTTCCTGCATAAGAGCCTCTTCTTTTCATCCCTGTGATTTTGCTAACTTTTTAATTTTTTGCCACTGTTCTATTCATTTGTATTTCTTTCTGAAGGAGGTTGACCATGTATGTTTTTGATATAACTAAAGAGTGCACATTGGAGAAACATTATTAATAATGTTATTTCTCTGAGCATATCTGAGAAAAGCCATTGAGGTCCTTTGCCTTTGCTTTCTATTATTCATCCAGGTAATCTGGCCTAGGATGTGAACAATAGCACAATCTAAAATTGTCATATTAATTATTTAAAAATTAAATTGTTAAGCTGTCATACATTTTTACTACCTTTTATATGCATAGTATCTAATTAGCTGTACTCCTGTACTTAATTTTTTCTTGTGTTTGTGATACTATGTTTTCTTTTTTTTCCCTCAAATCTTCTATTTTAGTACAAGATATGAAAACTGTTTCTCAAGAAGTCGTTTCTGAATGTGGTAAAAATCAAATAATTTCTTCTGCATCAGGTATAATTTTTTTTTTTCCTGAGATCAGCATGACTTATTAATGATCATGTCTGCATGATGCCAAAACAGGAGGCACCCTCTCCAACATATACACTAAAAAGAAAGAAACAAACAAAAAACAGTAAAACTAATTAATTGATTTAATGGAGATGGAATGATAATTTAAATATTTTCACTTTCCTTTTTTCTTTTTGTTTTTTGGTTAACATAAGGTTTAAACTCAGCTTTGTTATCAAATTTCCAGTACACAATATGACAGTGAGTTACATTTTACATATGAAATTTAAAAGTAATCTTTTATTAAAAACAAAATACAAGGAATATAATTAGAGTCCTAGGGAAAAGGCACAGCATTAAGCTGTCTGCTGAGCTCCTACAACATTAATTTTATTTTACTTGTGACAAGAAACAGATGACTTTTGTATAATTTAGATGTTAAAACGTTTTAAGTGGTAAAATTTAGCCATTTGCTCTGTAAATATACAAAAAAACCACTGAATGGTACCCTTTTAAAGGATATGAATTATATTCCAATAAATCTGTTAGTTACAAAATGTTGAAAGTAGGAAAATCTTAATTGTGGCTTAATTTCGTAGAATTTGTCTTTATTGATAGTCTAAATAAAGTAAATGACATGAGTTAATATTACCTGAAATGAAAATAGGAAATCGTACCATTTTCTTGACATAATTTAGATACTTTGCTGTTCTTATAAATTAGTTATACAGGAAAAGCAATAATCTCATTCAGTGTGCATTCAGTTATGAATTACTCTAAATTTTTCATATGGTAGAATTTGTTTTAATTTGTTTATGCCTGTGAAACTTATACTGATATTTTCAACAAATACATTTTATGTTGGTTGTTGCTAACTTATCCTTATGAAGTTAATGATTTAGAGCCACATATAGACAGTGTATTCCTGGTTTTTCTCTTCTCAATTTTCAGAACACAAATTTTTGAGTGTTCCTCAGCTGTTGGCTCCAGATGTATATTTAAATATCAAGTTGCCCACTGAAGTGTCAGAGAAACCTTTGTCACCTTCAACTGAAGCAAATTTGGTTTGTATTTAATTCAGAATTTCTAATAATACGTTTGTGCCAACCTTTTTTATGGTCATCCAGACAATATTCAATTGTATAGATTACTTGAGGCTAAAAATCTACTCTATGTAGTTTTGTAGGTATGAGTAGATACACAGGAAGACATGCAAGCTGAATAGGTATAGATAGGTGAACGGGATTATACTCACAACCACATATAAGTTTGGTAGAGTATATTTCTACATAAGTGTTTGTATGTGTTGCAAATATATCCATGTATATGGTAGAGCAAACAGCAGTCAAAGTTATGAAAACTTCTTAGCCATAACAACATATCTTGTGGGAATGAGTCATTGGGCTTAGGGTTTAAGATTACACTCTCAAGGGACAACTAAATCAATTGCCATAACACAGTTCATAAAGCCAGTGCTCTACACCCTATTGTCACAAAGACAATGTTCTACACCTAGCGTCTCGAAAGCTATTGAGTGGCCACCTAAGATGCAGCTAATGGTTTCTTCCCTGACTGGAGAAAAGAAAACCAAAGATTCAAGGAAACAATTAGTTCAGAGGACTATTGGACCACATGAAACATGGCCTTCACTGTCCTGAGACCAGAAGAACTAGATCATGCCCAGCTACCACTACTGACCACTCTGATGGGCACCACAGAAGGTCCTGGACAGAATGGGAAAAAATGTAAAACAAAGTTCAAAATCATGAAAAAGACCAGACTTAACTGGTCTGATAGAGACTGGTGGAACCCTAGAGGCTTGTTAGACACTTTTCAAACCTGGAACTGAAACCACTCTCGGGGATCACCTTTCAGCCAAATGACAGACAGCCCTATAAGATGAATAAATAACACCAGGGAGGAATGTACTTTTCAGTAGCATCAACCGTACCAGAACAAAAGGCTAGCATTTGCCCAAAAACAAAGCTTAGAAGGCAGGAAGTCACAGGAAAAAAGAACAAATGGGAATGGGGAACCCAGGGAGGAAGCGGGAAGAATGCTGTTACACTGAGGAGATTGCTAGTGATGTTACAAAAAACTGCTCTGTAAACTTTTACCCAAACCACAATAAAATAAAATGCTAACAATAAAAAAAAAAAAAGTGTTATGACCCCAGATAATATACTCTGACTGTAACATGTTAATCCTGCAACTTGCCCTAAGTTAAGCACATAAAAGCTCTTCTTGCCTTGTTATTGATAAGAATTAACCCCCCCCCCTTTTTTTGGCAGAGTGGCCATGTAGAGTGAAAAGAATATAATTCTTTTTGGTTTTATATATTTGGCTCAGGTTGGACACACTTACATAGATGTGATTGACATTGAAGCTGATGATCTTCTGCAGGAATTACCTGCCAAAGAAGAACTTTTAGATGATAATGTTACCAGACAGCAAAGTGATCATCCAGAAGTTCCATCTTCTGCTGAGTTGCATTATATGGCAGCTTCAGTTACTAGTGCTGCTCCCCTCCACAATATTAAGAGTGAAGGTAATATATTTTTCTAATTTTTTAAAATAAATATATTTTGTAAAAGTTTTTAATATAGTATTTTCATCCTTACTCAGATCTCTTAGCTTCCCTTCTACAGACCTACTTTGCTTTTGCATGTTTATATTCACATTTAGAAATGCTTTATTAATCTTGCAAGTATTTTGTTTAGAAGTTTAGAATCAGTCTTTGTGTTCCTTTCCTATTCTTGGTAGAATCTGCCAATTCCGCTGTGGATTTGTTTTTTAAAGCTGCAAAGGTATCTCCAACCTGTCTGGATGTAAGAAGCTGGGGAGCAGACATTACTAAAATGAAGGAGCCTAGTATCATCTTGCCCACACCATCAGGAGTACAGCAGAACAAAGGTGAATAGCCAAGATAAATAGCAACCCCACCTCCACAAATTACTGTTCTATTAGCAAAAAGCACTAAAACTCAGCAGTTACAAAATAAATGACAAAAAAAGACTTCCTTTGCTACAGGAGTGGGAGCAGGCAGGTAATTGAGTGAGATCCGTAGTTGCAAATGGGATATTTTGGAAGTGGGACCTGTAGTCATTTTGCAGGAAGACTATGGATTTAATGATGCATATGTTTTTTGAAAATTGAATGGCAACTCAAAATAAATATTCTGTGGAAGTTCATAAATGTTTTGATGTTAAAAAGGAATTCTCATATTTTAAAAGGTGGGGAATTCTGGAATAGCACATAGAAAATACATAGACACAGTGGCCTGATATCCCATATAAAGTCGCCAGTAGCCAACACTGGGTGTACCTTTTACTGTGTGACATTGTTTGTTTCCACATAGTTTTAAAAAGTCATGAAAATATAAAAGATGCTTTTGATGAATTATACTTTTTTTGTAGCAGGTGAAAAGGTAACATTCAAACTACCTTGTATTTGGAGCTGACTGATAATAATAACATTGTTATGCCTTCTTATCTCACAACAAAGATAAATCTCAAAAGTCAAGAGTCTGACATGGAATTTCTAAGTATATTAAATGATTGCAAGAGAATGTTATGTTGGATTAAAATGAGGTTGTCAAAAACTAGCATCAGGAAAAAAAATAGCCTCATCAGTATCTATCTTTTCCTTAATTATAATCAGTCCTGATTTTACTTTTATTCATACTTAGATGTGTCAAAGCCTGAGTTCAAAGAACAGAGCATAAAGACAGAAGCTGCAGAAGCTTGCCTGTTGTGGAAACTGCTGCAGGAAGTTTCTGATGCTTCTCCTGCACCAAGCCCTGCAGCATGCAAACTAGAGCATCTCACATCTAAACTTCAGGAAATTGATGAACAGCTGTTGGCGATACAGAACATTGCTGAAAACATAGAGCAGGATTTCCCCAGGCACAAAATGGTAGGCCTGTATTCTGCTAAGATAGCCCTTCTTTGTTTGTTTGTAATTGAGTTATCAGATTGCAGTATAATTTTGAACATTTAATTTTTCAAAATAATGAGAATTTTGACTTCTTTAAGCTAGCGTTCTCAACTTCAGTACTGCTGACATTTGGGGCCAGGTAATTCTTTATGGTGGAGCTATCCTGTGCATTGCAGGATGTTTAGCAGTATCTCTGACCTCAACCTACTAGATGCCAAGAGCACCCCCGGTTGTAAAAACCACAAATGACAGTGCCACATGTATCCTGGGGGAGCAAAATCAGCCCTAGTTGACAAACACTGCTGCTAAAACAACCAGGAGGCCACATGTTCTGACCTCCTCTAATCCCACAAGAGGGAAGCAGGATTACCAGCAGTAACCCAAGGCCTATTCCTACAAGACCAGACATGCTGCCTCCCTCCAGCCCTTTCACCAACCGTTCCTCCCAAAGCATCCACCACCTCTCCTCTGGGTTCGATAATTCGCTGTAGTGGCCACACAGAACTCATGGATTACGGGGTTTATTAGGGAAGCACCAGGCTACAACTCAAGTTCAGGAAGAACACTCAGTCTCTCCCAGCCCACCGTCCCTCAGCCAAGAGTCTCTCACAGTCTCTTTCCCAGCAGTGCTGGTCCCTCAGTGTCTCACTCAGCAATGTGTGTCTCTTGC